AGTACTTTTGGGATTTCTCATTAAGTCAGGCTGAAATTATCTCCTATTTAGAGAAACCCTATTCTGGTTTCCGGTTTAGGAAGGTAAAGAAGGAATGTGAAGCCCCACAGGGGGCCGTGATCAGAGCCTGATGCAAATCTTGGTGGTCGTTACTGTTGTCTGGCACCTACGTGCTCCCAGGGAGCACGTGGCAGAAAACTCACCGAGTCACAGCGACTCCTCATCCTCAACTGCAATGAAGAGGGCATGACTCAGGGCGCTTTCCCATCACCCACGTGAGCCTTAAGGTGCTAGACTTAATGGCTCAGAGTTTGGGCTTTCAGGGCTTGTAAAATAAAAACACAAATGCTCTACATACATGCACGGGGATATAAATAGGGACCCAGCCTGCCCCCCGCTGCCCGACCCACGCATGTTGTAGGATACCGCAGTTACCATCCCCGGCTCTACCATTCCTGCCCCCAGTCCTGGGGTGGGAGTGGGGGAGAGGCCTGTACAGGCCCCTGCTGCAGGCTCTGGGATGTCTGGGCATTCAGTACATTCTGGGGACCCAGCTTGCGGGAGAATGGTCAAGAAGTGGATGGGGGCCCTATAGGCTCTGAGTAAGCATCCTTACCCCACCTTTGGGAGAGGGCTGCGGCTAAAGGGGCCCTCTAAAGCGCAGGGCCCAGGAAAAGGACCCTGGCTGTCGAGGTCCAAAGGCAGTACTGCTGCATTCCATTCTAGCCAAAAGAAGCCAAGTCGCACCAAATGCCAAAAGGCTCTTCAAGTTTTCTGTACCTTCACATATAGAGTAGGTGCACACTGAATGGAGGCGCTGGACCGGTCCCAGCCGGTGCTGTTCCTGGGTGCCAGGCCCTGACTACTTAGAAGAAGGGGATGGAAACAGTTCCTTTGAATTATGAATTGTCTGAAGAATTCAGCAAACCTAGGGCTCCAGAGCTGAGCACAATTGTGGGAAGCTCGTCAGTTGGTTCCTAAAAACTATCTCAATTCATGGAATAGAAAGAAGTCTTAAATAGTCTACCAAAGCATGTTATAGGGCAAACGTTCCTCATAGGATCAGGGCCCCATGAGCCCTCGCGCAACACTGCAGCCCAGTGGGATGAAGTGGAATGTGAAGCGTGTACAGGCGTTTTTATTCATGGCACGTGAATGATTTAGGTCACTGACGTGCTTGGTCCCAAGGGTGTAGTCTGAGCCACCTGACACGACTACAACAGAGAGTTTCTACTTAGTAGAAGGGTTTTCAACAAGCCAGAATGTCTGTCCTGATTTTCGTGCTTAGGTCATTTCTTTTTAAATCCCATCTGTCTTGTTCTGTGATGTTAGCATTATTAGAAGTAGAACGAGCCCATACTAGGGAAAAATGTAAATGGTACATTTTCTCAAAGTCTAACTGTGCAGACTCTGGAAAACCACCTCTTCTGAAAAGGCTTCAGTGTGGTAAAGCTTCTGAGGAAAAAGGCTGCAAGTAAAGGGCTTTCTGGGGGTTCCATGAGGTTTTGACTTCTAGCCTGTTGCTGCGGCAAAACCTAGCTTTTATTAAATAGTGTCTATTCCGTGTGGGCTGACAAGGAAGGCTTTCTTAACCCTGAGCAACACAAAGAAGATTACGTGCTCTGAGTGTTGGGAGAACCAGCTCCAGGATGCAGGGTTGTCTGTTTTCAATCCTTCACGGCCTAAGGAAGCTTTCCTGGCCGAAAGGACCTCAACTTTAGCCCTTCCAGCAGCTTCCTGGTGACATGCTACCGGAGTGGTGACGCAGATGGTTTGTGGCCCTACAGAGGGGTAGCAGGAAACAGGATGCACCTCCATAAGGCTGCCCTGTCTTCCTGTTATCAGACTGGCATGTAGAGGTACTGCCTGCCCACATCATAGATCAAAAGAACTACGTATGAGGCACAGTCCTGGGGTTTTCATTTAATTTTTTTCAGACGGCTAAGGGTAAAAACCCTTCAAGAATGGCAGTAGAAGAGAGATGCCCCAGGCCCTTCCCGTCCTGTAACTGGCTCCACTTTTAGGCCACTGGTGATCCACGCGAAATTATGCCTGGAGCAAAGACATACCCTCCCAGGTGTGGAGACTCAGTTCCCTTCTCTAAAGGATGCAAAGCTCCTCATCTGTCAGATGGATATGCCTAAGTAATTTGTAAGGAGAGTAAATATGTAAGTTGGTCGGAGAAGAAGAGAAGGCAAAAATGAAATAAGAAAAATGAGGGGAAAGGACACAAATTGTGTGCCTTGGTGTGGAAATTAAATTCAAACAAGAATGCTGTTGGTTAAGAGCTTGCTCAAGAGTTTGAGCTCTGAGCAACAGTGGTTCAATTCCTGGCCCGAGCTGAGCAGCTGCTGAGCTGCCAACAGGTGGCAGGATGGCTCAGCTTAAAAAAAAAAAATGCTGGAGCTCATTACTGGGACCTATGCTACACACCAGAGGGATACAAAGACAAACCCATCTCTAACTTATAACAAACATCTAGTCAATATATAAGACACACCAACACAACTAGTCCAACTATAATACATATCCTGTTGTATCTGATTGACTTTAATTCTCTCAATATCGAAACTTGTAAGACTCTCTCTTCTAGGTGTCAGGGTACTCAGCTCAGTTACCTACAATCATAACATCACATATTAAGGCCGAGAGGGTTTTAAAGCTCTTCTAGTCTAATTCTATCATTCTGAGATGCGGGGTTGTGTGTCTTGTCCAATACACACAGCTGCTTGGTGGCAGAATTGAAAGCGGAACTTGGGTTTCTGTATGCCCAAGGAAGTGTCTATTAGCTTTTGCTATCTTCCTGATGAATCTTTAATTCAAAAGGCACCGTTTTTTATTCCCCGGTACAAGGAGGAAGACTTTTATTTTGAACTGCTTTAAAAGGCTTCGTTGAAATGTAATGTTACATGCTGATCCTGGCTCTCCTAGGTCAAAGGGATCACAGATTTAGGTCACTCACCACTAGAGGGCACTAAGATTTTCCCAGTTAATTTAAAGAGGCTTCCAGATGAAGTTGATCAACATGATGACATTTTCTATCAGTAGTAAAAGGTAAGTGGCCACGTCTCAGAACACTGGCTCTAAGCATAGGTGTCTAAATGTATGTATATATCTACACATACATATACATACACATATACATAAACATGTTACAATTAATAAATAGTTGTTATATTAACGTTACTATTTTAGATTCAAGTTTGATATTTTCTCAAAGGACTCTTACTTATTGCTTTCAAGTGGTAGGCAAATTTTTGAAGTAAAAATTAACTGGTAAGTCAAACTGCCTCCAGAACGTTCACACAAAACCCATGGGCTCCTGCTAAAATCTGCAGGCCTGCAATATTCTAGGCTAATCATGCTTGTTGTTGGAGCTCTTGTATACTTTGATTTAAAAGGGAGAAAAGAAGAAAAAGAGAGCATGCTCTGCTGTAAAAGGAAATGAACACAAGCCAGGCAATTTTTTTAACCCTCTAGTTTATTACCCCTGAAGGCCTTAGTCTGATCACATGAGGAATTTCTGGAGATTTATGCCTGTCGCCATAGAAATCCAGTCTGTCTATGAGGACCAAGCACTTTCTGGCTGCGTTTTTTAAATTCTGAAAAGGTCTATTCCATATGCTTAAAAGAAGTTAAATTAACATATACCATTAAATTAATATATAAATATATAAATTATAATGTATAAATTAAATTAATATATAGCATTGCCCAGTCTGAAAAATACAACCATCTTAATAAGAATTGTTTTTGTAAAAAAAGGGTGAGGTGTTTCAGTACCTCTGGCTGTCCTGTCAGAGTTGCTGATGATTAATTAGCATTCTGGATTCTAGGTTCCGCTGAATCGTTTTTCTGCCCCAGGGCACTTACCTGACCAAGACTAGACCGTGCTTTGCCAAGGACTGTGGAAACCTTGGCTCACGGCATTGGAAAAGGATACATCTAATTCGCTCTGGAAAAGAGAAGAGAGTGCAGGGATGAGAATGAGACATGGGGACACAAAGCGCTTAATTAGCAGTCAGAGGCTGCTCTGGCGGAGAGCCCGGAAGCACGCAGGAGAGGCTGCTCACAAGTGTGAGAGCGGGAAGGCCCTGAGTTTGAGGTTGTGATTTAAAAACAATAGGCTGCAGTTTAGAGGGATTTTACAGGCCTGAACAATTCATCTTTAGAATACAGAGGGAATGAACTAACTCAACCTTTACAGGTAATAGGTAGTTTGGTATGTGCGTATCAAAAACCTTAAATCAGGGCCGGCCGAGTGGCGTGTTAGTTAAGAGCTGACTTGGGATGCCAGAGGACCCCGGTTCGGATCCCACATATGAGGGCCAGTGACACTGCCCTCCACAGCTAAGATGCTGAACAGCTTAACCTGGAGCTGGGCTGCCGTGAGTTGCAGGTGACAGCGTAGGCTGCAGCCCCTGTGGCAGTGGGTTGCCATGGGCTACTGTGTGTAGCCAGCAGCCAGTGTGAGCAGCCAGCAGCCAGTGTGAGCAGCCAGCAGCCGCAGTGAGCGGCCGTCCAGAAGCCGGTGACTGATCTACCTCGCCCAGGAAGAGCGCAATGATGGTGCCAAGTTGAGCCAGTGAAGCAATGTCCTTCACAACTAGACTGAAGAACAAAAGGATAGCAACTTGTCTGTTCCCCTTCCCCCAATTCCCAATAAAAATCTTAAAAAAACAACAACGAAACCTTAAATCACATGTATGCCTTTTGACTCCATCAATTTTACTCCTAGAAGTTTATTCTAAGAAAATAATTAAATAATGGCACAACAGTTGTGTAATAGGATGTTCAGGGTAATGTTTACAGTGGCAATTATTGAAAACAAGGAGGGACTAGTTAAATAAATTATAGCAGGTCCACAAATGATGATGTAGCTAAGTACTGACATACTGTTGAATAAAAAATCAAGTTATAAAATGGTATAAACAGTATTATCCTATGTATATAGAGAGATAGATATAGATATAGTTATATACACAGATACGTAAAGCCTAAAAGGAAATGCACCTAACAGTATGTACCAGTGAGAGGCCTACTGATGACCTCCCTTTTCCTTTTGCTTATATGTATTTTTAATTTTTTTCAATGAATGTAGATATTTATGTCACGAAAAAGTCACAGAGGGAGAAAAAGTAAACAGTTAGATTCATGTGTGTCAAATGCGGCACCGACAACCCTGATCCCAACTTTCTCAACAGCAACAGCCCTTGTCTCTTGCAAAACTGCCTCCTTTAAAGCCACCTGGGTTGGCTTTTTGTTTTGAAACGTGATGCTGAGATGCTTCTTTCAGCTGCATGAGACTGATCTCCAAATTTAAGATTTGGAAACTCTAAAATTAAAAATAGCCCCAGAAAGAATGTTTAAAACTCAGAAACCTAAAAATAAATTTTAGAATTACAAGGCATTCTCCACGAGTGGGACAGTTTCTATTTGCTTTCCCATGGCACTCTTTTCCCTCCTCTGTCTCTTCCTTTTGTTACTACTGTCATCCTAAACCAGGTCCTCCAAGACCTGTGTAATCACCAGGTTTAAATTAAATTCTGATCTTTACTTCTGTGGTTTATGTGGTCACTGACTCTCCCTAGAATTACAGCTAGAATTTAGTAACATGCTATTTATGCTCGGTTACTGAATATAATAATAATAATTTAAGAAACCTAAGCAGTAATAGTGCTTGTACCCGCTCTTTATTCTCCCAGGTTTAAAACATTGCTATTTTGGGAAATTACGTTCTCCTTGATAGGTGTTCCCTGAAAGTGGCTAGTCATGGCCAGCTCTGAATCACAGACCCTGTTTGGTAACCAATCTGCCTGAAGAGGGTGATTGTCTGAAGATAAGCAGCAACCAGAGTTATACTGTCCAATATGGTGGCTGCCAGTCTCATGTGGCGATTTAAATTAACTAAAATGAAATAAACTTAAATTTTCAATTCCTCATTTACACAAATCACATTTCAAGTGTTCAAGAGCCACATGTGGCTCATGCCTGTCACACAGGATGGCACAGGGACAAGACATTTCTATGACTGCAGCCAAGTCCTTTTGCAGAGTGCTACTCTGTGGTACTTTTTCCAAGCAATCCATAGCAATACCAAGATGGATTTTAAAGCCAGTCTCTGGAATGGCTCAACCTCTTGCCCTCTTCCAGTTTTGGAGGGCACCTGTCACTTCCTAGCCAGAGGCACTGCCAAGTCGCAGGCCACTAGTCACCTCCCAGCTCCTACATCTGAATTAGGTCATGGCTGACAGGAAGAAGCCTCATGCATTAAGACAATGGTTCTTAAACTTCAGCATGCATCAGAACATCTACCTGGAAAGCTTGTTAAAACACAGATTGCTGGGTCTCAACCCAGAGTTTCTGATTCAAGAGACTGGGGTGGGCCCAAAACTTTTATTTCTAATGGGTTCTCAGGTGATGATAATGTGGCTGGTCCAGGAACCACACACTGAGAGCCACTGCATGAAGGCAGTGAAGACAGGCTAGTTGATTGTCCCATGAAGAAGGAGTTTGCCAAACTTTACTCCTGGCATTGGGAATCAGACTGAAGACAGAACTTCTTACATGAGTTTACCCATAGCAGGCTTCAGGGCACTCAGTACTAACCATGGAGCAGATTCCACTCACTGCCTCAGGAAGAAGCAGCTTGGAAACAGCTCCTTCCTAATTATTTTCTTTAAAAGGAAAATGAAATAAACAAAATAACTTTGAAAAGTCAGTTTGTGCCAATGCTACTTCTCAAGAATGTCTAACCAGGGCCGACTGAGTGGCTCAGTTGGTTAAGAGTTGGCTTAAGAGCGCGAGCACTGAGCAACAGGGCTGCCGGTTCGATTCCCACATGGGCCAGTGACGCTGCGCCCGAGCTGAGCTGTCGTTAAGCTGCCAACAGGTGGCAGGATGGCTCAGCTGGTGTAACAACAAGATTGCCTGTTCCATCGTGGGCTACGCCCGCCCGCAACTAAGACTGAACTCGGCACCTTGAGCTGAGCTGCCGCCTGGATGGCTCAGTGGACAGAGCATGCACTCTTAATAATAAGCTGCTGGTTCGACTCCCACATGGGATGGTGGCTACGCCCACCGACAACTAAGATTGAACACAGCACCTTGAGCTTAGAGGCCACAAGCTGCCAACAGGAAGCCAGATGGCGACTGGCACCCTCCACAACGAAGACTGAAGAACAACAACTTGGCTGGTCCCCTTCCCCAATTCCCCAACACTGTTCCCCTCCCCAAATTCTCTAATAAAATCTAAAAAAAAAAAAAAGAAGGTCTAACCAAGGCTCAGGGAGGCTTATGGTAGCAGAGTAAAGCAGCTTCACTGATTCTTTTTTAAAAGACGACTGGATTTCAAACTAGCTACAAAGCTAAAGTCATCAAGATAGTGTGGTAGTGGCAGAAGGATCATTGGGTCAGAACTGAGAGTCCAGAAATTAACACATTTATGGTCAATTGATTTTTGACAAGGGTGCCAAGACAATTCAATGGGAGAAAGAATAGCCTTTTCAACAAATGGTGTTGGGACAATTGGATATCCACACACAGAAGAATAAAGTTAGACCCCTACTTCACACTATATATGAAATTAATTACTCAGAATGGATCCAAGACCCACGTAGAAACTAAAATTATAAAACTCTAAGAAGAAAAGATAGGAGTAAATCTTCATGACCTTAGACTAGGCAAAGCCTTTTTTAGACATGACACCAAAAACATAACAACAACAAAAAAATAAATTAAGCTTCATTAAAATAAAAAATTATTATGCTTCAAAGGACACCATCAAGAAAGTGAAAAGAAAACCACTAAATGGAAGAAAGTATTTCTAAATCATATCTTGATGAGACATTTGCATTCAGAATATATAAAGAACTCTTACAATTCAACAATAAAAAGACAATACAATTGAAAAATAGGCAAAAGATTTGAACAGACACTTCTCCAAAGAAGATATGAGTATACAGATGACAAATAAACACATGAAAAGATGTTCAGCACTGTTATCCATTAGTGAAACACAAATCAAAACTCAACTGACTGGCCTCTACACCATTTCATACCCACTAACATGCTATAATAAAGACTGATAATAACAAGTTTTGGTGAGGATGTGGAGAAATTAGAACTTTCATACATAGCTGATCAGTATTTAAATCATGCAGCCACTTTGGAAAAGTTTGGCAGTCCATCAAAACATTAAACATTACCATATCACCCAGCAATTCCACTCCTCGGTATATACCCAAGAGAACTGAAAACAGATTCTACACAAAAATGTACACACGAATGTTCACAGCAGCATCATTCATAATAGCCCAAAAGTAAAAAACATCTACATGCCCATCAAGTGGTATATCCATGAAATATTATTCAGCAACAAAAAGGAAAGAAGTCCTGATACATGCTACAACATTGATGAATCTTGGAAACATTATGCTAAGTAAAAAACGCCTGTCACGAAAGACGACACATTATATAATTCTATGGATATAAAATGTCTAGAACAGGGAAACCCATAGAGACGAAAAGTAGATTAGTGATTACCTAGGGCCTGGAGCAGGTGGAGGGGGATAATTGGGAGGGAAATGCTGATGGGTATGGTGTTTCTTTTGGGGGTGATGAAATATTCTGATATTGATTGTGGTGATGGTTGCACAACTCTGTGTGAATACTAAAAACTATACACTTTAAACGGGTGAATTGCATGGTATATAAATTATTTGAATACAACTGTTTATAAAAAAAAAAAAAAGGACTGTTGAAAAGAAACTCATGTATTCCTTAAGGGGAGTGAGTTGGTTTTGACCCTCAAAGCAAGGGTTTAGATAGCAATGATTCTTAAATTAAAAAGGGTTCTGGTATATTAGGAAGGCAAGCAGAAGAAAGAAGAAAAGAGAGATAAGCCAAATCTCTTAATTGAGAGAAAGACATAAAAGGTTCTTAGTCTTGGACTAATTTTTAATGAAGATCTGAGTCACACATAGGTTTGATTTGTAACGCTTCGGATGATCCGGAAGGAAAGGTAACAGAAATCTGGCATTATCTGAATTTTAAATTTTACATATTAAAGCTCTATATTAACACATGTTCTTGATATAGACCCATTTCTGGGAAATTAGCCTGAGGAAGAAAACCATTTTTTAGTCATTAGACTTACCACTCGGCTGAAGTAATCATCTAAAACTTCTACAAAGTTATGGATGAATTCATAAATCGCCATCTCGTTCTGAAATAAAAAAGGAAGGGTGCAGTTGGTTTTAGTGTGACCCGTGTGTAAATCAGACATGGAGCTGCCCAGTCAGCAACCAGGTTACAGAGCATGTGGCTCAGTCTACAGATAATGTGAACAAAGCTTTCCACAGACAAATATTCAGAATAGTTTGAGGACTCACTTGTTTAAAAGAAGCTTGTTAATAGGAGAAATGTAGAAAACCTTAACCTCTTAGATGTTTTTTAGTGTCCATGATGAATCTAGCTGGACTGAAACTGGACTGAGTCTGGTGTTTAGGTTCTGAGCTCTACTCTGTGTCTTTATTACCAACTGGCTGAAGCAATTTTACAGGTTCTTCATGCCATCACTTTTCCATCTGTGAAGATGGGGAAACCATCTTAAAATTTGGTTCACTGATAAAAAAAAAAATCAACTGAGATTTCAAAGTACTTTAGACCTTAAACACCCTTTCAGAGATTCCGTGGCCACAGGGGCTATTGATTGGGGACTGACATTTCTGAGGTGAACTAAAAACCTGAGGAGATATAACCACAACATCATCGTATTTACAGTTTGCTCTGGCTTCTGATATGCCAGCCTATGTGTCATGCAACAGTTGACTGGCCTCTCCCCTGCCTAAGCTGCCCCACTGTGCCACACAGAACAGGGCATGAAACTGGTATTGCTTAGGGTCGAGAAAGGCATTCTGTGGCTTTGTGCTTCTTTACCAGCTGCTTATCCAATCCAAGAAAAATCCTAGGTATTTCTCTTCCACACAGCTTGTCCTAGCCTTGATGGAAACCAAGACCTTTCAAAAGAGTCAAGATACTTCATAGGGAGGCAGGTAGGGAAGAAAATGTCAGTGTAAGGAGGAATAAAAAAATCGAGTTGTCATTCCTAATTTTCTTGCTTTTTTCATTGGCTCTTCTGTTATCTTACCTCAGTGTCATTAACTCCAACCACGATGAAGAGAGCTGCATACTGCCGATAGACTAGCTTAAAATCCTTGAATTCAATGAACGAGCACTAGACAAAACACAATTAGATATTAATTCCTGTGATTGATAGGGATTGCTTTAAAATGGTATGCATAATTTTTAGGTTCTGATTTGAGTGTCTGTTAACACATTCCCAGAAATATACAACATTAAAATTTTACAAACACAACCTTTTTGGCCACCTCCTCACAATATTCAGGACTACTCGGAAGCATCTCTGGTGGGAGGTGAAGACATTGTCTTGGAAAAAAGTCTGAGTGTGCACAGGGGTTCCCACCTGCACTCCTTATTCCTTTGCTTGGCTCTGTATGGAACTCAGAAGACAAAGCTACTCAAGAATCAGCATCTTAACCTGCCTGCAACGTGAAAACAAACCAACACGATAAAGGTTTTATTCTTTCCACCTCCCCTAGGCTATTTTGAAAGCAATGAGAAGTTTATTTTTGTATTATTTAATAGTCACCGAAGAGCCAAATATATGTAGCATATACAAATGCAAAAAAAATCTTGATTTCTTTTTCCTAGGCCCATTAAAATAATCAATGTAGGGTCTTTCATAAATTATTTAAAGATGGCTTTTGTGTGGCAGATGCTAGACAAAATCTCTTATTGTAAACATTGCTTCATATGAATTAATAACTAGCTGACCACCACTGGCTTATGGATAAAACAACTCCCTTCCCATTCATCGCTGTCCTAAAGCCATTGTACAAAGGGTAATGGGAAGGCATTGGGAGGACTGGAACTGGGGAGCAGGCTAAAGGCACAGTGCTGCCCTTCCTCTGGACTTTTCGGTGTGCTCAACCAAATGTGACTGAGCATTAACTGTACAGGCTTTTTGCACTAGCTATATTGTTCTCGGAGCCCTGGATACACCTGGGAATGAAGTGGCAAGTTTTGATTATGTTATTTCTTCCATGGGAAAGCCACTTGGCAATCTATAAAATGGAGGGATTTGAAGCTTGTATTTAAAATTAGAGTAGGGGCTGGCCGAGTGGCTCAGTTGGTTAAGAGCGCGAGCTCTGAGCAACAGGGTCACCATTTCAATTCCCACATGGGCCAGTGAGCTGCGCCCAAGCTGAACTGCCAACAGGTGGCAGAATGGCTCAGCTGGTGAGAGCACGAGCTCCAACAACAAAATTACCGGTTCGACTCCCACATGGAATGGTGGGCTACACTCACCCGCAACTAAGATTGAACACGGTGCCTTGAGTTGAGCGGCCACAAGCTGCCGACTGGTGGCCGGATGGCGAATGGACTTGGAGCTGAGCTAACTGCGCCCTCCACAACTAAGACTGAAGGAGAACTTGGCTGTTCCCCTTCCCCAATTCCCCAATAAAATCTTCAAATAAATAAATAAATAAATTAAAATAAAATTAGGGTAAAGGTAATAAATATAGGACCATTCTGCAGCATTTGGCTCACTATAGAGCCAGTCTTAATTCTGCTCAGATGTCAAGGAAACACAACCTATTTGAAAGAACTGAGGAACATTTTTCAAAGCCTCTCAGGAGTTTCTGACATTAAAAAAAAAAAAAGTATCAAAGCACTTTTGTGGATAAAATATAAACTAAGCTGAGATTGTGTTGCCTTGGTGCCTGATTATGCCAAAAGCCCACTGCATTCCTATTAAAATCTAACATAATTTAGAATGCTTCAAAAATATCTAATAGTATATTCATATCAAAGCACATATTTCAAAGGGCGTTTGAAATTTTGGAGTTGAAATTGTAGAAAAGAGTCAAACAGGAATGCTTCTGGGGCGTGTTTACCTTTACCTAAAGTATGTGGCTATTAACACAGCCCTTTAATAGTTTCTGTTTCCTTTTGACAACTACATGAAGGAGCATGTGCCATGGCAAGCCAAAGTAGTAATTCAAAGAGGACTCTTGAGATGTTCCGACTGGAAAATCAATTTAGAAGCCAAGCGAAACACAGTTCTAATGCGTTAACTTCTGAGCACTGTTGTAGCTTAATATTTTATGACTTAGCAGTGGTTCCCACAGGCAGCTTTTTTACACATGCAATGAAATGGAGAATTGGCAAAATGGGCGATTTAAACAAGCTTTCTGATTTTGCCTCACTTTGTTCAGTGATTTCCAAAGGATTCAAAGTTTAGGACCTGGATGAAGTAATTCTTCAAGTAAAGTTCTTTGTAAAAATAAACTCAGTTTTAAAAAAATTCCTATTTATCATTATTTTAAGGATTTCATTTAATCTCAATTTTGGCAGAATGGATTTGTTGTTTCATATGAATTTTTAACTTCCATTTCTCCTAGCTACATAATAAAATCAGGCAGTTCAAATCAAGTTTGTTTTTAAATCACTGGTTCTAGTATTATGTTGGTGGTAAATTCACAAAAATGATAAGCAGAAAAATCTGCACTCCACATGAGAATCATATTATGATCCTCCGGCACAACATGGATCTTGAGTGTTCACCTCTGAACTACTCCCTAACCTTCAACTTGGGGCTGCAGGTACTCCTAAGAGTTCCAAGGCCTGGATTCATAGGACCAAAAAAAGAAGATATGTCTGTTAGCAGGAGTAAATTGGAGCTGTTATTTCCACGGTGCATTGAGACAAATATGCTGACCTAAATATGAACCCAAGACTTCTCCTGGTTTTCTTCGTTTTTATTTTTCTTAAGGGGATGTAAGGAGAGCTATGCTTCAGTCTTCATTTCACTTCATTTGTTATTTTCCCTAATAGCTGCTGAAAGAATGTAGTTCAAAGAAAATGATGGCTCTTGAGACTCAGTAATAACAGATCTGCCACTGCTGAGTTGAAGGCAGAGATAAAAGAGAGAATCAGAAACTTACTTGTTCATTGGATCGAGAGAGACAGCTCTTTATGACCTCTGTTTCCAGAAGTGTGCGCTTATTAATCTCCACATGTTCATAGTACTTAGAAAGTCGGGTCTGCCCTTGTTTATTCACCATAAGGAAAAATTTTATCATTTTTTTTCTGGCCAGTATTTTTCCAAATATAGGTCAAAAGTTATGGCAAGGGGTGGCTGTAACTAGAACCTGTAGGATAAAAGAATAACAGAAAGACAAGATCAAATTTCTCAAAGAATCATATTAAATGTGTTCTATAGACGAGCCAGAAGTAAATAAAATGTCTTCTGATATCAATGGTCTTCACTACTATGAACCAAATAAGGTTTTAATAAACAACTAAACTTAAATTTTCATTAGTTGTGTCCGCAAAACATTTTGAGCAGCCACAGTACTTCTCATATTCATTCAATTGATTCATCAATCTTGTTGGGCGCCAACTATGTGTCAACAGCCAGAAGGAGACTATGGAGCTGAAGTAATGATTTCTGATGTACACACCTAGCAAAGGTGTTCGACAGGTAAACAAGTACCAGCAGTACACGGTGATGAGTTATAACCGGGGTAGGTATTCTTCTATGGTGTACAGAAGGGACAAGGAACATCACAGGTGAGCTGGGAACGGCTTCCTAGAGGAGGAGCATTTAAGCGAGATCTTGAACAATGATCTAGAGCAGCGGTTCTCAACCTGTGGGTCACCACCCCTTTGGGGGGTCGAACGACCCTTTCACAGGGGTCGCCTAAGACCATCGGAAAACAAAAAGATATTTACATTACGATTCATAACAGTAGCAAAATTACAGTTATAGAGTAGCAATGAAAATAATTTTATGGTTGGGGGTCACCACAACATGAGGAACTGTATTAAGGGGTCGTGGCATTAGGAAGGTTGAGAACCGCTGATCTAGAGGAAGTGACTCTGACACAGAGAAAACCGGGGTATTGAAACTCTGGAAAGCTCATTGTGGCTGCAGTGAGAATGGGCACAGGAAACTGAGCTGCTCGCGTAAGATGAAATGGGCTTTAGAAGTCATGCTGGGGAATATGAACTTTATTGTGTGGACAGTGGAGACAAGATCTATAGTGAAGCTTTTCTTTCCTTGGTGTTGAAAGCAGTAGCAGTAATTATCAACCACTTGTCCAAGTCCTCTAACAAAGTCCTATAACAAGTCCTGTACTGAGCAATTTACATATATTATTTCATTCTCACAATTCTCTGAGGTAGGTACCTCTGTCATTGCCATTAAGGACAAGCAAACTGAAGTTTAGAGATGTTAAGGCACCAGAAGTCCTGGATTAGTGTGTCAGAAGTGAGCTGCAGCTCGAAGGCCAAGCACATGCATGGGTCTGTGATGTCTCCTCACTTGTCCTCATCATTCAGGAGTTCAAGCTAGTGGTTTTATTTTTAACTCAGCTATATTGAATCTCATGTTTGTACCTCTTATACTTAATACAGATTTTGAAATAATCAATGCACAATATTGACCAATGGCCAGTCCTTTTTTCGTCTCGAGCATCAGACCTGCCTCATTGGGTCATCAGATATCATATTCACATTTTGTGATATCTATGAAAATCCATGCAAAAGACCAAGGTTAACAATAGTTCTTAAATACAGCTTTATAATTTGGCATAATTTTACAGAAAAGTCCAAGAAATTATGGGATAAAACTTGGACTAAGTTTTATATTATTTTCTGCTTTCCGAGCTCATCTCTTGTTTCCTAAACCCTATCAGACAGGTGGTTATATCACAATTGCAAACATTATGAGCTAGAAAGAGCCGGACCCAGCCTGGCAAAGCCTGGGGTTGCTGTGTTTATTCTGTGTGCAGAACAGGATGTTATCTAGATCAGCGCAGCCTGGGATATGACAGCTGTGCTATGGGGGGAGGCCTGTGGTCATTCACTCCATTTTCCAGAAAGATAAGCTCATTCTGTAGGTGGGATTGCAACATACACTGTGTTATTTAATCATTTGGTATTATGTGCCGTTTTCATTCTGTTTACAAATGATTGCCAGTAAATTATGGTAGGTGACTAGTAAATTGAGATTACCATCTCTCTTTTATTCCCTTTCAGCAAACTTATTTTAAAACCATCTTTATGAAAGTTAGAAATTACAATCTCCTATACCCTGGATTCTAACAGCCAGGTATAAGAAAAAAATATTGTCTCAAAGGAACTTGTGGCCAAACCTTTGCCTTTAAATGCCCTGGTTGCATTTAGCGGTAAAAGGAGATGTAAAATGATCCCATTGCGATGTTACACCAAGGGATCAAATTGGTTTCCACCTTACAAGCACTGCATTCCTTCCCAATGACTTCAAGAGCAAGTTAGACAAACAAGGACACGTTGAGTCGATACTCATTAGGATGCAAGTCTTGAGAACAGTAGCTGAAGGCATCTAAAGACTTGAATACAACATTTTAATAAACAATTATACAATTGATAAATGTAGAATGACACAGTGGTAATCAAATGGGAAAACTAAACTGTAAATTATTTCTGTTATAAAATAGACAATGCCAAAATATATAATGCGGAGACTCTGAAACAAGTACATATTTGAGAACTGAAGATGAATGCTCTAAGCACCTATCCTGCTTAGTAATCATCAGCGGGGAGGGGAGGTCACATAACTGAGGTCGGGCAACCAGAAGGAATATGCTGAGACAAGTGCTGGGAGTGGCCAGGGCGCAGGTATGAACGTCCTCTATTTATAAACTTCTTGCATTCAACAACACACAAGGCTGGGGAAGATGCTTTGATTGCCAGGAAGCTGGGTTCCACACCCAAGAACTTGTGAGAGAATGTGCATGAAGAGCCAAGGAAGAATAAAGAAGGGAAACTTCATTGGCGAAAGCATTGCACACAGAGAGAGCTGGGATGCCTAAGGGCCAAGACAAGGGAGGCTGGTAGTCACAATAGGACATGAGCAGATCAGTGTCTCATGACCCCACGTGATGTAAACTTAATAATGCATAAAGAGAAACCGGAAAGACTGAAGTACATATGGAATGGAGCAATGTTTTCAAATTTCTGATGGTGTATTTCTGGGAGTTAGAACTGGAAGAGCCTTTATAGATTGTCAAATCCAAAGATGACGAACAGATTTCTACTTGGGTGCCAATGGGACTAACTGTATTTGCTGCTTTGAGCGCAGTGTTGGGAAGGATTCAGGAGCTGCTTCCAGGTTCAGAACAAAAGAATGCCATGAATGATTAGTCATGTCAGTCATGGGTTAGGAAGCAGGGTGTGGCGACATATGCCTCTCATATCTGTCATTCCTGAAATGCACTCCCTTCATTTTGCAGATGGGAAACTGATAATCTGAGATGTAGAGTGAAGTCCTGAATTCTGGTCTCCTGACTCATAATATAATGCTGTCTTTAATTTATCACATTGGCTCTTTGCCTCAATCGGTGAGTTAGTGTCATTAAGTGCTCACTAAAGCTTAACAAACTCAATGTCAGGTAGCTTTGGGAACGGTCAAATCAACATTCTCTTTTCTAATCCCACTTCATAATTAATTTGGAAAATACCAAACAATTCACTGCATGAAAATGTTAGAGTAGAAAGTTTCCAGAAATGAAAGTGGTATTTAATGATGGCTAACATCTTTTCTAGGCATAAATGCTTTCTAGGTCCCCCAGAATTGTAACACACACACACACACTCACTCCAAGGTAATTATCAGACAAAAACATTTTTTCCTCCATAAAAGTGACTGAAATAAAATCCCACAAGTTAAAAAGCGAATTTCTACCAAGAAAATGGATAGTACTCGTACAGTATAATAGTCAAAAGCATAAACTGGAGCTTGACTGTTTGGCTCTACTGCTTACTAACTGTGATCCTGGGCAAGTTTTTTGTATTCAGTCTGAGGTGCGATGGAGTAATAATAGTACTTACCTTCTGGGTTGTGAGGATGAGAGGAGTAACTATATGTAACATTCCCAGAACAACGCTTAGCAGTTGGCACACAGTGAGTGCTTACGTAAGTGTTGGCCAATGTCATCATGATAACAGATCACCTTTTCCTCAGTGAAGTGTTTCCTGCCTATCCCAATTCCCTCTTTCTAACCACAAAAAACTGGTTATCCTTTCTTTGAACCCATCACTGTATCTCAGAAAGAAAACCTGTTACTCTGTATAATCATTACTTGATTACATGCTGTGCTCCCCTACCAGAACAGTGATTTTCACTGTACTATGCCAGTAAAAGAGATATTTTACACTGTGACCCTGTATATGGGTATATATATATCTGAAACAAAAGTTCACAAAAAATGCTTAGCCATACTATGTATACTGCACTCCAGTATTTTCTTTGACATTTCATTTTGTAAAAACTGCAGTGTGGGGGATTTGGGTTACATAGATGTACGGATTTTTCAACACTCAGCAAAGGTACATTAAAGATTCATGCATTTATTATATATAAATTTTACATAAAAAGAAACGAATACTCTACTTAATG